AAGAAAGTATAACTTGCCTTTGTTAAAAGCAAAGGACTTTCGAGCAGATAAACTATACTAAGTTCTGTTTTTAAAATGATTATGAATTGTTCGCAATTTTTTTATTTTTTTACCTTCTCTAGGTAACAATACTACAGTCTTGTATTCTTGTATCCTAATATTAGAATAACTTCTTTGTTTAATTAGCTTGGTTACTCACCAAGGAGATCTTACCCGTCCTTTATTCATCGAACGAGCAGCCTTGAAGAAGGCTTAACTTAGGTCGAAACGTCGGCATAAAGAAAATAAATATAATTAATTTTTACTTTGTTCTTCCAATGACTAGAAACCCCATCCGTCTCCTCTTCGACAATATTTTCATTAGCTATAATGTTTGGCGTAAGCATATAAAATCTTTAAGGAATGTTTAAATATCAATTTATTCGATAAAATAAAGAAAGATGAGCCATGAGAACCTAAGCAGAATTCTTTAAATTTAAAAAAATGGGTTCAAAATTAAAGCGTCGTATCTTTTCTAATATTGGCCTACTCTAGAACTTTTTTTTTTTTTTTTTTTTTGGAGAAAGTTAATGGTTAATTTATTTTAATGGTACACCTTGAAAAGCATTTATAACATTTTAACATTAAAGTTCATCAAGTTAGTTGGTTGTCTTAAAGAATTAATATGTTTATTTCACTCGCCATATTCTCAATGCCTTTTAGAACTTTACTCACTTTTTCTTTATCATAATACACTAAATAGTTTTCTTACTATTTTTAAAATATTCAGAGAAATTCTTCCTTAACCGATCTTTACAAATATTTTTATTCCTAACGACCATGGATAATGAAAGTCATGTAATTTGTTTTTATTTTATGTTTTCTACATTTATGTTACTTGATAGTTGGCACGGACTGAGTAACTGATTCCAAAAGGAAAAAAATGAAAGAAATATTTATCCAATATGAAAAATATTTGTAATAAAATAATCTAAAATGCCTGAATAAAGATAATTTTTTTATTATTCAGAAACATTAGAGTTGATTAAGATTAAGTTATTATATAAATGACGTTATATAACATAACGTATAAATATGTATTATTTACATTGCGTCAGAAATAATATATCCGTAATAATCTCGCACATCAGTTAGATAAAAAAAAAAATAACAAGAAAACAAGATATTCAAACCATATTTAAGTTAAGATTAATTTACAGATTAAATTAAAGAAAAATGCCATTTATCAAGGATACAAAAAATCACATCGATATATTGATATTTTAAAAAAATCATTTTATATCGATATATGGATATTTAATTTTGACTATTAAAACCAGATGCTCTCTCCCCCCTCATCTCTTCCTCACCAAAAAAAAAATTATTTAATTGTTTTTTAATCTGAATTAAATCATAAATATCTACAATGAAACCCTACAAGTTGTGGTGATTATTTTTCTACAAAAATATCACGAAGTCCTATATACAATCCAAAACAAATATGTTTTGAATACTTATAATCTATTTGCTAACTATCTACTAAAAACTCCGAGGTACCTGGGAGCAGTAATTTGTCGAAACCATCGAGTGTAACAGAAAATCGAATAAAAACATTATTCAGTTCTGATTTTAACGGCTAATTAAAAAATATATCTACATTGACTTCCACAAATCAGTTTCTGAATTCTCCATGGTATTAAAATTTTGAGATATTTCAGTCCAAACGTTCAGAACAGTAGATATTATTTGATTTTTGGTGCCATCTTTTTCCCTTTCCGACTCTCAACAATATTGTATCTCGGCGTCACGCCAAAATACAATATTGTTTTATAGCTCATCAAATAGAGGATGAAATGGTAAAAATTTGCTTACATTTTGCAGGTCCAAATATAGATTTCTGAGATATTTTAATATAAATAGAGAACAACTTAATTAGTCGACTCGATCCGACTTTAGCCGATTGAGAGTATTAACTATATTTTTATCTACCTATATATATATATAAAAATGAATGTATGTATGTCTGTCTGTCTGTTCTTTGTGCATTACTAAACCATTCATCCGATCGCCATTAAACTTTGAGAAGTTGTTCCGTACACTCCTTGGAAGGTTTCTGGGATATTACTTCTGTCTTACGATAATTTTATATATGTAAAAAAATAAAAATGTAATTGTTTTTCTGTTCAAAGCCGCAAAAAAATGTGTCGCTATAAACTGTAGCGCCAAAACGACTTTACCGATTTTAACGAAACTTGGTTAAAGTCTTTCCCTTGAAACCCCTTTAATTTATGTGTATACCATACTTTCCCGAAAACAAGCTGAAAAATGTTACGATGAATTCAATATTTTATTTGACGATAACTAAAAAAGTACACAATTTTTGACTGATAATACCCATATTTATTTGAAAGATTCCTGATTTGCCGACAAAATAAATAAAAAATCATCGAAATCGGACGGTTCGTTGCAGAGTTATGGAGTTTTAAACATTTACTGCTTTCTCTTCAGAAAAGGCCATTTCCTTTTGCTTCCTCACTACCGAAGGCAGGCAAGCATTTTGTTTTTTATTGATTAATCGAAAATTTTATAATTACTACAGTAATTGAAATTATCATTTGATGAAGTTACATGATTCTCTTTATGTAGGTCAATACTATTATACGTTCTTTATATTAATTTTTTATTTTAGTTTTATAAGTTCATCTCAGACAGTTTCTGATGATTATGAATGACGGCGTATTCACTTGGATGATTATGAATGTCCAATATGAGTAATGAAAAAAAAAATCATTAGAATTAGTTTACATTGAAGCCATTTTACAGACAAATTTCTTTCCCAACTTTTTAAAAATTATAGATGTCCTTTTCTATTAATCTACTCATATGTGCTTTCTATTTTCTTTCTTTTTCATATTGCCAGGCTAAGCCACAGCAGCGTGTGGCCGGGTAAAGCAAGTATTTAATAAAACCTTTAATATTTTATGGCATACGATTTCTAAATAATAACTGTTACTTTACTAAATGTAACTGTTACTTAAAGCGATAGGCGATACTAGTGTAAAAAAGACCTGTAAAAATAATTAAGGTGTTTTCAAATTACATGACACCATGTGGCAAAAATAGAGAAAGTATAAGAAATAAGAAATCAGAAAAGAAATAATACAATATTCTGAGTACTTGGTTCGATTCCAATGAAAACTTTCCTTAAGGAATTCCTCCAGTTCAATGGAACCGATTATTCTCAGTAGAGCCTAACAGTTATGTGGAACAAGTTTAATTGCGCAATGTTACAAAAAATGTTTCTAACTAACAATAACAGATGTGTCCACTCAAGAGGACTTACTCGTAAGTACTCCTTTTGATTTAGATTGAAAATCAATACAAAAATTGTTCGCTTAATCTTAATGTTTTTAAGTGAAGACATCAACAAGGCGAAATTAATAATAGAAAATGTAATTTTTACTTTCACTAACCTATATATAAGATATATAGTAAGGGACAGAATTGCGATCGTGAAAATTTTTGAATCTGAGTTTTTAACGGAAATAAACGTTTTGAGGCCTCCTGAGTACAAATAACCAAATCCCGTAAAATCGCCTGTGTGTGTGATTAAACTTTGTGTATCATTATATAATTAAGTGGTCTTTAATATTATTTAGGTCTTATCCCCGTTGATGTCACTTTACAATGCTTAAATGCCCAAGGTTCATATGCGTCTTCCTCTAAAGTACCTTTAATATGGTTTATTTTAAATAATTAACTATCTTTCATTATTAAAAGTATAACTTTTGAAAGAATTTAATAATTTAATAAAGGAGAAAAAATAATAATGCTTATCCAGGTCGAAAATGAATCTCCGGAAATACTAGTCAGAAGGTATACGTATAATATATCGTTGGAAAGCGGAGAATTTTAGAAAAAAACAATATCTAATGTAGAAAGTTGTAGAAGGTAACGGAGAGTGTCAAAAAATATATAAGTAATAATTTTAGAAAATTAATAATATTTCACGCAAAACACTCGTTTTCAAGGAAATTAAATGAAATTTACTAACTAAATGTAAACTTTTAAAATAATTGTTAAGTTTGAAAAAGTATTTAAAATCCACCTCCTAATCAAGGTAATGTCATTGTTAAAAAAACTATTACATTGTACTTGTGTGAAAGGAGAAGTAAAATATAAAATCATTTCATGGATGTATAAAGCCTATGTTTATAACTTTAAGTACATTTACTGTAGTTTAATAATTCTAGATCTGATATTATATTTAAATAATTAGGTATCAACGGCCGTTTATTCCGAAATATTGTCATGTAACTTTTTAGAAAATTAAATTAGTGCGTAATTTGATAAATTTTCCCTTTGTGATATTCCAACAATAACCACTTGCAATTAGTGTGGAAACTTTTGATCTGTCTATGAGAGACAAGGCTAATTTCTTAATTCCATTTTAGTAAACTTTGCAATGGAAAATAACAGTTTAATAACTAATAGTCGTACAAACCATAATCAACAGACGTGCTATCCATAATCAACCGGTGATATAATAAATAGGACTTTTGTTATTTTAAAGGTAATTATGATTTGTTAGCTGTAATTGTTTAGCTTTAGATCATTTAAAAATGAAATTCAAAAATTTTATAATAGCTCAACATGGTTAGAAAATAATTTCTATTCAAAGTTGAGCGGCAAGTGAAAGTTGTGTGTTGCACGCACTAGATTTTTTTTTCCTGATGCTTGTTTACATCCAGTTAATCTCATAGGTAATTCGGATGTTGACAGTATGAGAAATAGCTAGAAATTCAGTTTCCAAGATATTTTTTCTCATGGGGTTCGTTAGCAAAATAACTTCATATATAGTTAAATGAAGAGATTTTCGTTTGATAATTTTTCTCATTATCGTTTTGATTTTAAATTCTCAAGGGTGCAGATGCTTCACCACGGAATATAAAGTAATTTACTTCGTTAGGCCAGATGCCATCCTCAGGTACTTTTGCTTTTTATGTGGAATTTGGAATACAATGTGGAATTGTATTCAATTCCTTGTGAAGGTTATTCAGCTTTTTGAATTTAATTACTAATATCCTTTCCCCCAAAATATACTTAAATAGTATACCACCCGTAGGCTATGACTTTTCATTTTTAGCAATGGACAAAAAAAACTAAGGTGTGTGCTTTAGACTACGCAATAGAAGTGAAAACATCAATAACATGAAATATAAACCATAAATAATATCTCATTACAAAGAGGATGAAAGGCTGAACATTTCCCTCGCTTACAGTATGCAGGTTCGATTATTAGTTTCTGAGATATTTTTTTAGAGTGAAGGCGAGTTTTTTCAATAACTTCAATTATTTAAAACAATCATAACTTTTTAATTCAGGTCTTGCGATAATCAAAAGTATTGTCCAGGTTTCCTAGAAATTATACGTTGTTTTTTCTAAACTAGGGGTAAACATTTAAACCAATCAATATCTCATGATATGAAGGTAAAGAGGTAAAGATGGGTGGGGCATGTAGCTCGTAGCAATCCGTTAGGAAACCTTTACACAACAATGAATAGCAGAAGAGGAAGGCCAAAAAGTAGATGGATAGATAGAATCGACAAATATGAAATAGAGCTGCATATAGATAACTGGAAAGAAATATTCCGTTATAGGCAGAACTGGCTAGTTAAGGGAACAAAAGATCTACATGGTCTGAAAAGCCAAAAGAAATACAATTAATTTTTTTTTTTATTCAATGAAATTTAAAACTGTATAAACAAAGAGATACTATCCAGTGGTAGCACACCCTATTTAATTCTAGGTGAGAAGATCACGAGGCCATCTTCTTTTCACCTAGGGAAATTATAAGGAATCGAGAAAGAAGCTAGGCTGGAAACAAGTGAATTCGGATGGATCGTGAAGGAGTAGGTATCTGGCTCGGGCTAAATCAGCGGCATATGGCATATTAAGCTCTTTATGAATGATTTTATTTGTGAAAAAATAAAATGTGAAAAACATTTTTTTTTTTTAAAGAAATTTACAACTGTAATTAATAATAAATACAACAAGTAAATATGAACAAGTAACATGACATATACAACATGGAGAGAAACTACCCATTGGTAGCACTCCAATGATACTTCTATATTAGAAGGTCCCGAGGCCATCTTCTTTTCAGACGCCTCGGAGGGTTATCAGGAATAGAAGAGGAAGCAACGTTGGAAACGAGAGGGTTCGGATGGTTTAGAAATTGATTATGAAAGGACAGGTATCTGGATTGAGCTAAATCGGAAAAATATGGTACATTAAGGTCATTATGGATGATTTTATTTGTGACAAAGTAGAGAGCATTAAGTATTTTACGAAGAATTTTGGATTGTAGGGATTGGATACGATAGGAATTCGATGGTTTGGCAGAGTCCCAAAGCTCAACTCCGTATGTCCATATAGCTCTTGTTATGGTCAAGTAAATAAGTCTTTTGCAATTAATTGAAAGTTTAGAGCGTTTGTCTAGTAAGTGTAGGAGCAGTCGGAAACAATTAATTAAAATCAAGAAAAATAAATGTTAACGATTTTGATTAAACCTTTGAACAAAAAAGACCACGATTGACGAACGGAAGCAAAACATGTTTTCAATCATACGGACTCTGGACCTCTATTACTCAATTTGAGTAAAATTGAGTCATTTTTTATCACACACTAACAAATTTCCCGTAATCTAGAATATTTTCAATGTCACGTAATTATTAGATATTATTAGATAATATAGACTATTTCTATAAATACTCCTAGCCTATATCTTTCCTTATACGATATCCTTATCGATGTCCAAGAACTGCCCCCAGACTCCTGGCTGGCCCAGTTTATCCTGCACATTATCCTGTCCGACCTTGTTCCTGCTATCGGGTATCGACACCCATCTCAAGGGCAACCGGACCAACTTGCAGTTGTCGATCACGTATAGCTTTCGATCCAGCAATAGCAGAGTAATAATTTTAGCTACTGCGCCAGGCAGTAATGCATTTTATTCTGAACTCAGGGAACAAGTGGAGTCCCAAAGAGGTAACATCTTTAGTAATTAAGTTATAATCGTATAAATGTGGATTCAAAAAACGCTGCAAAATATTACAAAATGTTTTATCATTTCCAAATATTTAAAAACGTAATACTACTTTACTTGTCACTTAGAGGAAAATAAATACAAGGTGATTGCTAATAATGTCCTGAATTATTATTATTATGTCAGGAATAGAAAGTGAATAGCTTACTTTATTCTTAAAAAATATAATACCGTATTCCAAAATTAATGCAAGATTTAAACCAAATACAAAATACAGTTCTTTCTTCTTTTGTTTCCTTTTTCTTCGTCAATTTAACATCTGATAGTTTAGGGTTAATAAAAATGGAGCGTTATACGAGCGAACAATGTGTTTTCATTGTTGAAAAATATTTTTAAAATAATAATAATATTAAAAAATAAGGAAGAAAAAAAAGAAAGAACTGTGTTTTGTATTTAATTTAAATCTTGCATTAATTTAGGATAAAGTAAGCTATTCTCTTTCTATTCATGATATAATAATAATAATAATTCAGTACATTATCACCTTGTATTTATTTTCCTCTAAGTGACAAGTAAAGTAGTATTACGTTTGAAAATAATAAACCATTTTGTAATAATTTGCAGCGTTTTTATAGTTTTTGGACGACCAATGTTTTTTAACATCATCAATTGATCCAGTGTGCTTGACTTTCTCAACCACTGTCTTCACAGTTGACAAAGCTAAATCGCTATTCCGATCATATTTTGTACGAAATTTTCATTATTTTAAAAACATTTTTCAACAATGAAAACACATTGTAAGCTCGGATATAACGCTCCATTTTTATTAGCCCTAAACTATCAGCTGTTAAATTGACAAAGAAAAAGGAAAGCAAACAAAAGAAGAAAAACTGTATATTTCATTTAAATCTTGAGTCAATTTTGGGACACCCTATACATAACTGTTCGACAGTTGGCATCTTATTGGCAGAAAATATCTAAAGGAATACATATAAAAGAAGAGTTTAAAAGAAAATATATTACTTTAGATTAATGTTCCTAAATCTGCTTAAACCCGATATGCCCTAAATCCCCCATTTATCAAATCATCACTCATTTCTTTCTTGTTTAAATCCGGCCAGATCACCAACATTCAAAGATGATAGATAAAGAAAAAAAAATTTGAACGTATTCTAACAAACATTCTCAGTTAAGTACCAAACTTGAAATGTGAAATAGATTGAACTTTAAATGTTTCTGCAATGCATTTATTTTAAATTTTCTTAAATTATGTTGGTTGGCTCACAAATGGTCTGATACCAACTTTACTATGAAATTACTTCCACTTTACCATGTCACACGTATTTTTCTTGACATACATATATATCACAAATATTTCGTTTCATTTGGTCTTAAGGTAGAGGCCAACGTTAGGAAGTAGTGCAAATATAATCCAGTTGTATATAATTTTCATGCAATTTTCCAAAACATATCGAGAAAAAAAAACAATGTAAACTTTTCATTACATATTACTATTTCTTGTTTTTTATTTTAAAGAAGAGAAAAATAGTTGGGGTGGTTATTCAAAAAGGAAGGCAAAAATAAATGATAATTGCCTTCCTTTTTGACTGACCACTCTAACTATTCTTCTCTTCATTATCCACGACAGTCAACCAATTACCAATTATGTTTTTTTATTTTATTTTATTACTACGTACACATGTACTCGATGGAATGAGAACAAAATATACTGTCCGATCTGGCAGCATACCAAATCTATCTGTTTTGGTTTATTATTTTAAATAATCAACCTTTGTAATTGATTTAAAAATAAAAAGTTAACGCACCCTCAAAATTTGAGGTTTTACGTTGGATATGTGTAAATCTAAAATCTAATAAAAAAAATCCGTTTGTCCGCCTAAATTTAGAGCGTCAATTTAGAGTTTCATAAAACAGTTCACAATCTACAGTTTATTATTTAAGTACCTCTAGGCGGTAACAGCACTAGGGAGTGAGAAATTAACATTTTACATTTTTTTTCTCTAGGTCATATAATTACAAATTTGACCAAAAACTGATTAAAAAGGTTTCTTATAAAAGGATATAAAGGATAAATCATTATATATGGATATAAAGAAAAAAAAATAACTGCTTTCAATTGTGATTAGACCCCAGTAACAAAAATGGAGCCGAAATTATGATAGGGCACACACATTCTTTCATATGTAGAATAAAACTCACTGTATTATAGACATAAAATTTATTTTAATCTACAATATATTGACCATTATTTAGTATGACTTATTCCCATTTTTCTACTAACTGCATAATGCCATGTTTATAGAACGTTTGTAGTTTATTCTAAAAAAACTGATCAAAGTGATTTTTGATTTCCACTTCCTTTTGGAATTTCTTTCCATTCTGCAGAGACCGGAATAAGTGGTAGTCACTTGGAGCTAAGTCTGGTTAATAGTGACGAGTGATCAGTGTGTGGCTTAGCGTTGTCTAGGTGGAGCAAAACGCCCTTCCGATCATTCATAACCCTTCAGGATGTTCTCCAAATTCGATGTTACCATAACCGTTGGAAAGCTGAATTATTGCTCTTCAAAACTATATGACTGGTTTTTTTTGTTTTAATGCCTACATAAGGAATAAATAAACAAGGTCCGACATTTTGTGTAATTTATGTTGTACTAAATTTCTGATAAATTTCATGCAGATAGCTAAAATCGTATTAAAGTTATAACATTTTTGGTGATTTTCGAAAAAAAAATCATGAGAGGGACCATAATTGAGCTTGTGCAAATGGTTATCTCTCGCACTGATTTTGTGGGATTTTGATCGATAATGGCCTTAGCATTGCTCGCATGACAAAATTTCCTTTAGGAAATTTGGCAAAGCAATTCTGACAAGTGCATTCGGTTAAGGCATCGTTCCCATAAATTCCTGCAAATTTTTCAATGAGCTTCAGCAGCACGCTTAGAAATAACGCTTTTTGAAAATAATACAGCATTTAGTATAATGAATGATATTTTCTTCTATATTCACAGTGCAATATCAAACACAATACTAAGCTAGTTTCAGCAAGAGTTAACAGATATAGTAGTTGACATATTACAAACAGGATAAACAATCTACCTTAGGGATTAATTCATCAGATAACAAGTGTATCATAATGATATAACAATAAACAGAAAAACCAAAAGGACCTATTTGCCTATCTAATATAATGCCAATGTAAATTTCTACCTTCGGCAGAGAGGGAAGCAGATATCGCGATTTACATATAGAAAAAATATTACCAAGGACAAACAAAAGACAACACAAGATGGCTAATTTAAGAAGCAGAGAATAATTGCTGTCCAATAATCGTGACGTGTCAATCTCAGAAACTGAGAAATATTACATAATTTTTCTTAATTTCAATAATTGAGATTCAAAGGTACTTCCAACAAGTACCAATAACATACTTTTATGACTTCATAACAAACTAATTGAATTAAAATAAAACATTATTTCCATTCCTGAATTTTACGTATATTTTGAAGGCTCATGACCGATTTTTATAGGACTACAAATATCCCAGAAATAATATCCTCACAAGATAATTTATAATTTACGATCCATTGATATCTAACAAGCATCATAAATTGTAACAACTAAATTTTATCACCCACAAAGAGATAAAAAAAAAATATAACTTGATATTAATAAAGATACGACAAAAATGGCTCAATTGTTTTCTAGAAGAACTCACAATAAAGGTAATAGATAAATAAATTACTTGGTCTAATTTGAGGTGAGATCCAACTGAGAAAGAAACGGTCGAACAGCTTCAGAAGATAACCTTCAACTAACCTGTAAAAAATCAAAAAAATCATTATTATAATATGGTTTATTTCAAACTATTGTCTAAATCATGAATTTAATAATTAATAATAAATAAAAAAAATAGAAACAGGAAAAATGAGAAAGATGCAGTAATTGAGCCAATATTACATATTTAATGTATGTTAACATACAGGATGTTCCGTAAGTAGAGGGAAAGTTTCATAGAAGTGAATTTTCAGTGAAAAGTAGTAAATTCAAGTTTTTTTTTTTTTAATTGAGTCATGTTTTTTATGGAATCGAAAGCAATAAATAAAGAAATACTTAATTTAAGTAATTCACAACTGCTTCATAGTAAACTAGATAAATTTTACTTCAAATGTAAATAGAGTTTTTCATTGTTAAAAAAAATTTAAAGAAGGCTTTTGTGCGGCTAAACTAAGCTAAGTTCTGTTTTAAAAAAACATCATAAATTATTTGTGTTTTTTTATCATCATCCAACTATACTACAGATACCCTACTTTTAGAAAATCTTCTTCGTTTAATAAGCTGTATTAATTAAGTTGAGGTTTTTAGAGATTAATCAGAAAAAAATTTGAGAATTGCCTTAAATTGTGTAAAAAAATTATGTGATTTTTTTATCCTCAAAATTAAATTATCCGTTTTCAGAAAAAAATACTTCAATTATTTGTTGCTAAGCTTTTATTTCTTGTTTTTTTTTCATTTTTTGGGATATAATATAATAAACATAATTGCCTCAATATACTTTTTCTTTTTATAAAGAAAAAAATTTAAAATAATGATTTTTAAAATATTTTTTATGTTAAGTGGTGCATGAAACTGTATTTTTCACCTGTTTTATTTATTTTTTTTAAGTGAGTCGTGTTTGTTTATTTCATTATAAACATAAATTTTACGCCTAGAAACAATTATATTGTCACTCATAAGCATAGATAAATTCCTATATTAGAAATATGGATGGAAAACACAATTTATAACTAATTTAACGAAAAACATATTTGAAAATTCAATATTTTTCAAATTAATATTTTTTATAAATAAAATGTGTGTTTAGGTAATTGGGTTTGTTATGATAC